GTATGTCTCTAATGTAACACTGAGTACTTCCAGAATTGTATAACTGTAACTATCCAGGATATTCGTACAATGTACCAAATGCAGAGTATGCACTGTAACATATGTAAATAATTTAATGCAAATCTCTAATGAAGTAATGTATGTTTCTAATGTATTTATCCAATGTATTGTATATCCTTAATGTAACCATGAATCCTTCCAGAATTGTATAACTGTAATTAGCCAAGATATTCGTACAATGTACCAAATGTAGAGTATGCACCGTAACATATGTAAATAATACAATGTAAGTCTCTAATGAAGTAATGTATGTTCCTAATGCAGTGTATTTATCCAATGTATTGTATGTCTCTAATGTAGTGTATTTATCCAATGTATTGTATGTCTCTAATGTAACCCTGAGTACTTCCAGAATTGTATAAATGTAAATATCCAAGATATTCGTACAATGTACCAAATGTAGAGTATGCACTGTATGTAAATAATTCAATGAGAATCTCTAATGAAGTAATGTACGCTCCTAATGTAGAGTATTCGTCGAATGTATCGTATGTCTCTAATGTAACCATGAATCCTTCCAGAATTGTATAACTGTAACCGCACAAGATCGAAATGCATAAATTCGTACAATGTAGTGTATGCATCGTAACATATGTAAACAATGTAATGCAAGTCTCTAATGAAGTAATGTATGTTCCTAATGTATTTATCCAATGTATTGTATGTCTCTAATGTAACCATGAATCCTTCCAGAATTGTATAACTGTAATTATCCCAGATCGAAATGTATAATATCCGTACAATGCATCAATGTAGTGTATGCAACGAAACATGTAAATCATGCAACAGACACCTCTAATGAAAGTATGTACATTATATATTATGAGTACTGAGAATATTTCCGCATAGCGCTTCTGCTTTACGCACACCTTACTATGTACTTCTGTGTGCAATATTTGCATTTATGTGCTCTACGTGTTTCCGTATGTATTCTATGTGTCATGTTATGTATTCTCGTGTGTGTTTTTATATCTTTATGTTACGTAATTATGAGTGTGTTTTTATGCTTTTACGTTTAATTTTGTATATCTATGTGTTTCAGCTTCTATGTGTGTTTTAGTGTTTTAATGCTATCCTTTATATTCTTTTTAAGTTACTTTGTTTTATAAACAACGTCCTATGTAAAATCTACTTGACATCTAACCCCTGTATGGCCACGTAAACTCCCGGTGCAGCGTCAAGGGGCTCAGCGAGTTGTTTCTTCGAGATAGTGGAGGACGTGGGACATATGCCTGTTTACCTATGTTATACACCAGGAGTCCCCGTCCTCCGTCACCTGTCACCTGTCGAGGTAGCTTGATATTTTGGTAATACGTTCCGGAGGAAATTGATAATTTATCATTTTGACAAGGAGGCCAGCATGCCAAATCTTGACAAAAGCATTCTCGATGTCCAAAACTAGGGCACCAAAAGTCTCCGTCTTATTTAGATATGTTGTCCGATAATTTCTGTAATTCTTGTGATTTGGTGAACTGTAGAATGATCCGGTATGAAGCCAAACTGGTAATGTTTTAGCAAGTTGTGATTTTCAATGAAGTTATTAACTCGATTTAAAATAATGCGTTCAAACAATTTAGCAAGAGTAGGGAGCAAGCTGATCAGTCTATAACCGCTCGTAGTTGACCAATCTTTTCCTGGCTTTCTTATGATTTTAATTATAGCGTCTTTCCAGATACGAGGGAAGTAGTTTAAATTTAAGCAGCCGTTAAAATTTTTTGTAATGAGAACTATCCCTTTCTTTCTTGTTCAGGTTCTTGATGGCTTTGTTACCAATCCTGTCATAGCCAGCCCTTTTCTTTAGAAAGCTGGATCATCGTAACAGGGATTTAAATGTAATCAAAATTGCTATCACATGATGCTTTCCTAAGTTAAGGCAACGAAATTAGCATCAGAAAGATATTCACTTATTTAACATGGTTATATTTACGCCGATGAATGTCTTTAAGGAATATTATGCTTTTCTAGTTAATAGAGTTTCTTACACAAGTTAGCATATAGTCAGTACTAATTCAGAAGTCAGAACAACAGAAATCAGCGTTATATTTTCACAATTTGTTGTTTTGACTGCTGAATTAGAATTTGTTCGGCGTGTTATTGTGCCTTAAATATAGTCAGTACTTTTCCAATTTGCTATCAGAAAAATTTACATCTAATTACAACTACGTAAATTACCGCAACTTTAATTTTTAAACCTCACAATGTGACGGAATTTTTACGCAACAAGGAAACAAAATTAGTGCGGAAGATGAACAGTAAGTCGAAACCATTAATGATAAATTAATTGAAGTGTCAAAATTCCACTTTATATTTAAAAATGGAACTCTAGAGAGGGAAAGGGCATATATTTGTTAGTTTAAATGCTTTTACGTGTATACAGTAGAATGTTACGAGAGTAAAAATAAAATCAATGAAAGGTTTGACTTTTCGATTGAGGAATTGTTGAACTAGTTACAGCACGAAAGGAGCTTTCAATAAGGTACTCAACTTTAAAAGTTGGCTTTAAATTTGCGGTTCAAGCGCAATCTAAATTTTTTTGCGTTACACACTCTTTACGTGTAGTCCGTAGTTTTGCGGCAGAAAGTTGTAAAGCCAATTTTCAGAATTATATATTTCTAAAAAGAAAGTTAGCACGTTTTTAATTCTTCTGCATCATTCTAACAGATGAACGTTTTTGTAAAATACTGGAGAATTATGAAAATACTTTTAAATGAGTGAAATACTGAAATGAAAACACAAAATTTGCAGTTCAAGTTCAAGGGACGGTAGGGGATTAACTTCATTGGAAACTACATCTTTGTTGATGAAAATGAACAAATATGAGAACATGATTTAATGAAACATTACTTTATGGAGAATACGTGTCAACAACAAATCAACCTAATCAGTTTATTATACACTATTTAAAGTTGTTTGTAATAATCCTTGAAAGTCTGTTACATGATTTCCACATGATTGTTTTTTAAAATCAGAAAAACTGGAATGCTCAGCACCATTTTATATTTTGAAGAACATAAACATGAATACAGGTTCAAAAAAAGGAAAGCTGTATATGATGAAAGTTGACAGGAATCAAAACTAATTGCATCACATAAAAGTTCTGTTTTTATATCTTTTTATGTTACTTACCAGTACAATAGAAAAATTGCTTGAATAAACAAATTACATAAAAACATGTGCGAAGGTGAAACCTGTTCCCAGATTTAAGTTTTTATAATGGAGCAAAATGAGTCTGTAGAGAAGTTAAATGCGATCACTGAAAAACTATATAGAACGTATTCGGTTTTATAATTAGTTGAAATGGAGTTTATGTTTCTGAAATAAAATAAAGATAGATTCAATTCTGCCAGAGAAATAGGTCAAAATATAAGAAATGTACTGTAAAAACCATATAAACTTCTTTTTTTTTGGAGCAAGAAGTATTAAAAAATTTCCGTTTATCCAAAATAAGCGATAAAGATTTTAGAGAAATATTGATAAAAATTTTTAAACATTTCGAATGAGTATTAAGGTCACCAAAAGACTATTGTGCCAGGTTACCAATATTCCAGAAAATACTAAAACATTTTAGCTTTCGTTTTACCAGTTTCTTTTTTGTTTTCCACAATTTTCTTATTTATGTTTCATGTTTCATATTACTGAAAGCATAATATAGAAAAGTTAAGACATAAATATATTATTCTCGTTATTAACCTTCTAGCATAGGGTGTGTATAAATATATTTTTGTACGCGGTATGATATCTTGTCAGGGACAGAAGTTTGGTTTATCCGGATGTATATATTACAAGTTATCTAGTTATCTTGCAGTTCTATAGAAAAGCTGATGAAGCTTTCGTATATGGAGGGAACTTTCGAATCCTCAAATCATTAAAATATTGAAAAACGTTCAAAACCCTAAAATTCGAATTATCTGACTTTCTTTAAGTAATTCAAATTCTAACGTAAATATTTAGTAAATATTTAAGTTCAACAATTTGGATAGATTAGTTTTATTGAATCCTGCGCAAGTGCATACTTTAAAAAGAAAGCTAATGTTCATGTTCAATAAGTGTATAACGAATATGATTTAATGACTATCTTGATTGCCGCATTCTGAATTTCTTAGAAGAATTGAGCGTTACATGTTTGGAGTTTATTTATGTTAATTCCTAAACGGATCCTATCCTTTCTGCATTTCTTTTGGATTTAAAAACCTTTTAAATCATTACTTATATTATTCAAATAATTTTTTCAAATTATGCTAATCAATCGTATGTCAAATCTCGAGGATTTTAATTACACATTCATTTATTAAATTTTATTTATATTTTCTGAATAAATACAATCGTGTTTGAAAATATGTTCTTAAGTTTGTGGTCCGTCAAACAGGCAATTCAAATTTTCATGAAAGCTATAATGAAAGATTTAGTCTTGAGAAAAATATTTTTTCCTTATTGTTATATAAATATTTCGAGAGACAGAACCTCGAAAGCTGGAAGAGATTCAATATTCTTTGAGAATTCGAGTGCAAGAATCTCTCGGAGTCATCGTAAACGGATGGAAAACTACCTAGTTAAAACTAGTTTTCAATCAGAATGATTTGTATAAGGTGCGAATTAAAGCTGTGAATTTTCATTTATCTCAGATGACTTCGCATTTTGTTTCCGTGGAAAGGATTTTATAATCGGGATATCAATAAATGAATCAGTGCTAAGTCACCGAAATAAGTATGTTTCGCCTGCCTGAATTTAGGAAAATTCTTTCTTTGTAAGGAATTTATTCTGACACATAACATTTTGAAACAGTTATGTTTAGCAATTCATTTTGTTTTTATACTATGTGTCCTCTTTCTGTGTCATTATTTTATCTCATGATATTGCACATTTTTGAAGACTAAGTTGTACTATAAAATGACACTGTTAGGGTACGATATTCATTGGAATTAAAATCGTGTATCTAAGAAATGGAGATTTTCAGACGCACTCTAGTTTTCGTAACTGCTCTAGCGATGGCAGCTTTGACTATCATCCATGCTGTTCCTGACCCTGAACCACAGTCCCAACCAGGGCTCGTAGGTAGCCTTTTAGGGAGAAAATAAGTTCTTGTGCAACTGACGGTAAGTATGCAATAGTTATAAGTATTTAAGAAAACTTTCGATCCGTTAAAGCGTAATGTGGCATTCGTCTCCTAAATTTAACTTTGAGAAATAATAGATTAGGTTCTCGAATTAAATGATACTATATTTTAAACATCGTTTTTATTTTAATAAATGTTATTAACGTGAGCCAAAGAATAATTTTCTGCTTTTTTTGGGTCTAATAGCTAGACACATTCCGATAAGATATAAATGGCCGTAGACATCGGACGTTTAGCATTCTCGTCTTTTATAGCGCTTTTGAGAATGTACCAAAGGAGGGAAACGCTATAATACCCTCGAAAAGCTTGAATGTCAGCACAAAGGCAGAAAGCTCTTGCTCCAAATGTCAAACTAATACTCTTGCTTAAGGCTTAGCAATTAGGTCAGGTTTTGTAAACCATTATACCGCCCAGGAAAGCAAATACTATGAGCTTCACTTCGATAAATTTCATTATAAGGAGATAAATTTTGCTTCGAAATGTGTTTAGAAACGCGTATTGTGTTGTAAGGTACAATAAACATACGTAAATACGAATCTATGAGCATCATGACTATAACAAGGATCAGTTATTTATATGAATAAGAAACAAGTAAAATGAGCGATGTTCTTCCCGGGATACCAACTCTAATCTTTCCGACTGCTAGAAAGACGTCCTTCCAGTTACAGTAGAAAGTTTAGAACTGAGAAACAAAAAGCGTTTATACTTCAGAATGTTTTCTACAGTAGCTGACAGGCTAGGAAGATGTCTGAACACACTTGTAAGAAGTATGGAATAGAAAATTCTCACAATTAATAAGAATAGAAGAATTGCGATTAATAGACAGCTTAATGAAAACATCTTTTTAAGATGTAAGTAGATTTATTTAACCATTTATTTAGAGAAAATATTCTCTTTCTGTGAGAAGAATATTTTTAATTCTTGTAGAAGAAGGATGTCAATGATTGTTTCTAAAAGGGACTAGAGATTATATATAAAACATATGTAATGCTATTGCAAATTTTGCTTAATAATAACAATAATAGCAATAAATATAATTAAACTGAATGAAGCGATTCAGATTTTAACAATAAACTAGAAGGGATCTTTGAATGTTGAATATGGATTATGAGTAGAAATTAGCAATAGAGTTGACCTAGGTGCGATAGCAAAACATTTTACAGGATGCTAGATAAATGCACATTTAGACTAACATGGGAACGTTGCATATCTTCTGCATAATTAAAAAGTGAAATAAATATTGAACCTAATTCTAGAAAAGTATTAAATTTTTTAATGAGTTATATTATGAATGAAATGGATTTTTTACTTTACTACATTAAAAACATTTTTTAAGAAAGTTATCTTGATTTTAAAATTGCTAGTTCATAAATAATATAAAGATAAAATTTAAAAGATAAATAGCTTACATTTTGCCGAATAGCAAGACTCGAAAAAACAGTGAAACAGCGCATTTAAACGTAAATCGTTGCAAAATGTGAAGACCAATACCCTTGTGGGATACAATAAAATTTTAAGCTCTATAACTTTTGTTTAGTTTCTCAAAAAAATGTCGTAATAACAAAATAAAGACTTAGTTTTCATTTAATTGAAGATCTTATACAGAGAGTGATTTTACATTTAAATATATAATTTTCATTTTGTAAATGTTGCATGTGTTATTTGATTCTCAAAACAAAATGTCGTTTTTTAATGGTTTCATTTTTCTCACCCCAAAGTCAGCTCATCAAACTTTAATTTCTGTTTTCTTGAAATACCTGAACCAAATTCTCTTCTCCTGAAACGTATGGAAAACAAAACCATAAATTTTTGGAAAAAATCGATAAAATCATTTAAATCCAACTGACTCGTAGTAAGCTGCTTGTTATACATATTTAAAATTCATTTCGAAATATTCTTTGTAAAATAATCACTTTTATAATACATAAAAATTATTATTTTTTGTGAATATGGATTTAAAATGTTAAAAGGAAGAAAGGTTTGTTATTTTTGTCCGAAGAATAATTTTAATCAGAACGATAGAATGCTTCAGGTCAATGTACACTTTTTAAATACATGCACGATTGATTTCAGTTAAATGAACGTTCAAGAATTCGATATTTTCTGCACATCCGCAATAACGTAAAACTGTTTAAATCATATTTGATGGGGGGATAATATCTTGTTAAAAATTGTATTGGAAGTATCGCCATTTTAGAGAGCATTTCATTGTAGCAAGAACGGAAAGAAGACATATACGCATTTTTCTCTTTATGTTACGTTCGTAATATTACACTGAAATAACATTAAAATATATACGTGATTCCCAGTTGAAACAATTCCAGGAAAATTCCCAGCTCCTACAGCGTTTTCCAATCCTTCATCAGCAGATCTTAATTATTACTTTCAAAGCTCGATTTCTGAAACATTTGTCAATTTAAAGAGAAAAGTTTTTAACTTTCCTTTCAAGTTACTATTTACATGCTAAAGATTTATTTTTCATAACTTTCGTTTGAATTTCAGAACTATTTTGCATGCTATGAATCAATTCAATAATTTTAAAATAGTAATTTTTAAATTATTGAATAATTTAATTATTGGAGATATTTTTTGGCTTAAATTAACTTTTGAATATTGCACCTGTTTTGTGGTATAATTTGTCTACTATGTAACTTTTATAAATACTTACACTATTAGGATGATTCTTAAAACACGTCTTTTATCATCCTTACCTGGTAAAATATTAAGAATTTCATTTTTACTAAATCTATTCCGTATAGAATTATTAGAACCAAAAACCATAATTAACCACCCCAAAAGTACGAAAGATAAGAAAATTCAGGAATGACTTCAAGAATGTATTTTCTTAACAATTAATAAGTCTGTATATCATTTTTTTATAATGTTAATTTTTGCAAGTTTATTTATTTTAGAATATGAAATTTTAATGAATGCCGAAATTACGAAACCGTATTTACTAGATAAAGTTAATAAAGCATAATATTACTCCACTAATATTACGGTGATTTAAAACAGCGGTCTCAAACTGGCGGCTCTCAAAGGAATTTTATGCGTCCCGCAAAAAAAATTCAAGTGTGTATTTGTTGCAGATATGACGTTCCAAAGATTTTATGATTTTAGTTATTTGATGTTTGATTTCATTATTTTCTTCACCATTAAGAACGAAAGTGAGTAATGCTCCTGAAAATGTGTAAATGTAGCTAATTAATTTACTGTGTGATATAAATCGTTTTCAAAGATTTGAAAATACAGATTTTATAGACTTAAATTCGCTCTTCTGCCGAAGCGGAAAGTAAGGCCAGTTATGGAAATTTGCACTAAGAATAATCACATTGTTTGAGAATTTATTTGTATGTAAACAGCGGTTTTCCACAGACGGAAATTAATAGCCTCCTTTATTTCGAACTTCAATTTTTTTCCAAATTCACAAGTTGAAAGGCTAAGAATTTCAAAATTTTTGCCGAGCTACCTGAACTTTCAAAAATATGCATATTCACTCATAAACCTTAATTACTTTATGGAGACATTAGGGATTTTTTGGAAGCAAGCAAGATGAAAAATTAACAACGCCTTCGCCGGGAACCTAACCACGGATCTCTGGAATACCGGCTCCGCGTGCAGAACCACTACACCACGAACGCTCGCTAGGAAGGCCGGAGAATTACCTTATATACTCTCCCTTTTAAAGGTCAACTAGGGTTTCTAGAGGACCCAGTCGCCACATGCTCGATGTGGAGAACCATTATACAACACCTTTTTAGTGCGGTTGCTACTGTAGGAACATTAGGATTTTATTTCGAAGCAGGCAAGATGAAAAGTTAACAACGCCTTCGCCGGGAAGCGAGCAGAACCAGTACGCCACAAAGGCACGCTAGGAAGGCGGGAGATATACATTTAACTTCATTATTATAGATTTTTGCACTTTAAATTATTCATATTAATTATTTTTTTTTCTTCTAGGATGTGGAACGTTAGAAGATGTCTGAATATACTTCTTCTACAGAAACAAAAGAAAAATTCGAAAAGCTTCGAAAATGTTTATTCAGTCTCATGTTAAACAAAGCTATCTTCCAAATTTTTATTATGTGTTTCGTCTTTGGCATATATTTATAAAATATGAAATAATAAAATATTTCGAAAAGCTTTCGCATCAAAGTATTTTATTTAATTTTATTCTCAAGCATAAACAACAGAATTTCGATCTATCATTTCCGTAATGATTTTTTCCTCGTGTGTAGTTTTCACTGTGTTTTCATTACCATAACACTGATTTTTCATCACCCGTCCTCCCGCGAACTACGAATCTTCTGAAATAATTATTTACAAAGTTTGTGTCTATCTTGGAATTTCCAAATTTGAAAATTTTGAAAAACCGTGAGACAGAGAGATTACGGAGCTATATAGAGTAAACTGGAAGATACACTCGTCAATGTAAAATTTTATACTAAACAAAACAGTTATCGTACTTCAGTTTAGAACACCGCTGATCAGAACATAAGTTACGTTTCAGAAATAAAAAAAATTATGGTTAAGTTATTTAAACAATAACTGATATATAGTCTGACAAACCTGTGCGAATTCAGAAACTGATCTGAAAATATAATTTTAGTTATATCGCATTTATGTAATACTGTTGCTTAAAAATTTGCAAGATCTCTTCGTTTGGGATGCGCATGATGTATTACCGAAAACTGCTGTATTATCCGCGAACTGGAACAGACACGGGTTTCATTCTGAAGTGTTCTGGCGCAAACAGTTTATGCAGATGATTTTCTGCAGGACCCTGTAATTCGAAACAATGCCTGATGATTAATTGTGACTGTACGGTAATTCTCTTAGGTTTTCCTGCACCTATACTAATGTTAATGAATATTTGATATCATTTACGTATTAAAAAACTCAAGAAAACACAAGAAGAAGTAATCAGCCTTTTGAAATTCAAAAAATGAGACTTGTTGTTAGAGATAAACTGCCTTTAACTGATGTGTCACCAAAGGTGACCTTTACAAAATATAATGATATATGAAATATAATGATACATAGTCTCCTTCTATTGTATTATAGTTTATGAGCAGGTTTCGATGAAGAAGAAAATACGAAACTTCAGTTAAATCATTTTCGTAGATTCATGCTTATCATGCTGAAAGATGTCTGGCAGAAGCACGAAGTATCAGAAAGAATACCAGATCAGCACCGTTTGAAATGATATATGGCTCTTACTTGATTGCTGTCTAAAGCTGTAGTGTCCCAAGCATTGATTTGGAACAGAAGAAATAAGGGTGTAAAATTTTATGAAACAAACATGAAAATCATTTGCAGAGCTGCACATTACTGACAATAGAAATTAATTTTCTGAAATTTGTACAGTTGCGCGCCTCCAACCTGCACGCAACAAAGTGGTGACTGCTGAAACTGGATATATCAGAGAGAGTCTTGAGAAGGGTTTAAGTCCCTTTTTATTCAACTTTAGAAATTACAAATGCGTGCTCTTGACGCTCACAAACTACGCCGACCCGGCGGTAAAATAAAACTAAGAAACTAAAAAGAGATAATAACAAGAGGCTAACTACGAAGCTCTCTAAACGTAACTAACCCCACAGCGTTTTACAATACCGCTGATAATTCAGCAAACTCTGAATATTACGTTGAAAGATTAACAATTTGCCTAGGCAAGCACACAGGCCGAAACGCGTGGTTCTTCAATTTCTGACTACCTCCGCGCTCGTGAAGTAAGAAAAGCACACTTCGAACTCGTTTCCTTTCTATTTAACTCAGAATACTTCCGCTGATAATTTGAATCCTTGCGCGTTCTACTAAAAATTTACATACTCTGGCATTGGCAGTTCCAGGGGAAAGTAAGGCTTGACAGGAAAGATAGTTTAAACTTAAAATAAATGTTAGTTAAAATAAATATAAACCCTACATTTGCCGCTGCCAGAATTTGGAAAACTTGGAAGCAGGTTATACAAACGACCTGTTGTAAAGTTTCTACAATTCTGAACTAACTTTTAAGAGCCTCGTTTACATAAAAAAAATCTTATGTCACAAAAGGTATACTAAATTTCTGTAGATACTTATTTAAATCTCTCTTCTTACAGCAACTTTTCCTGGACTTCAGGAATCAATCTTGTTCTTTTCCTTCCAGCATCTGGAAGGAATAAGTATCAGTGTCTTTCTAAATACATTATAATTTACACTTTCTTGACACTGAATAATTTTTTAAACGATTTATTTTCCTTAGTTACTGCTTACTTCACATTCATTCAAGTATTCAAACATTAATTTAACTTTACCCTGGCTCTCCACCATGTGTGGTGTCAAACGGGAATATTCGTGTTTTAGTATTGCAACACTTCCCCTAAACACAATGATTTGTTAGAATTCAACGACCAAATAGACACACCTTACTCGACATTCTACAACTCGATGAGCTACTTTAACATTCTTAAAATTCAAGTGTAGGTGGAGAACCCTACAAAACACATTCATTCTAACTTCCCCCTCATTCATCTTTAGACATGCAGGCTTTCGCTCTAAAGCATGATTTTATCTACAGTTTAATACTTAAATTTGAATTCATTGCTTTTAAGCATTTACTTTTAGCATCTAAAATTTTATGCTTCTAGACTAAATTCTACTTTTACATAACTTTCAAGTATTTACGTATATTTACAAAATTCTAATACATATGATTTTTACAATTTACCATAAAATGAATAAGAGAAAAATAAATTTTTACTTTACTCATTCTTCGCCAAGCTGGCGGCACTGAAACTAAAATTCTTATTAATACAAGAATACGAAGTTATTTTTATCTTCGGCCAAATTTTGGCTTTAACATAACAGAATTAGTCTTTCGACCAACAGAAACTGCTTGTTCTTAGATTTTATACTGAAAGAAAATAATACTTTTGCCTTAGCTGAATAAAGTAAAACAAAACTAAGTCTCAACCGAGACACATTGACTTTCGTCAAAACATAGAACTTCGTATTTACGCATAACATTTCGGAACAAAAGAAAAATTTTATAGAAGATTTTAACTTATCTTTGAGTTTTCGATGATTGGAACTCCGTCATTCTTTTCTGGCAGAACTGTTCCCACGCTATAGGTTTCATGGACGTCAATCTTCTCCTTACTGACCTCCGAGTGTCGTCCACATTAGTTTTTCTTTTGCGTCCTCTGCATGCTGGCCTCTTGGCGTAATAGTCGTCGGGTTGCTGTCTTTTTCGTTTTTCCCCTGGACGGCTGGTCTTGGCGTCCTCCGGTCTGGAGTCATTCTTGAATTTTTTCTGTTGTTGCTGGTCTTTTCGTTCCTCCTGCTGTCTTTTTATTTTCCGGAACGGCGGCCTTGTTTGCACCTGACTCTCTGGCCCTGGGAAGCGTTCTCCTTGATGTATAATTTCTACTGCGATACGTTGTAGGTGGTGTTTTCCTCTTTACCAAGGTTTCTTTACGCGGTGGCTTTGCATTCTTGTTTTTCTTAAATGCTGGAGCCTGAAAGTTTTCGTTTTTTCTTTTCGGTACCGTCGCCTGGGTTGTAGAAGGGCTAGGTCTCTCTTCAGTTCTCTGCTTCTTGGGTGGTGAAACGGGTGACGTTATTTCGGGACCTTCTACTTCTTTTACGCTTGAGTCCTGCAAGAAACTTTTAAGGATTTCAAAATAATTTTGATTATATCATTTTGATCATTTTGATTTCTAATCCTCAGATTTAGAAATGTATGGAAACTTAATGCCGCAGTTTTAGAAGGCTCAAATCGGCTAGTAATATCTTTTTGTTGTACACCATTTTCCAAAAATTAATTTTTGTCATACATAAAAACTGTGTGCTAGCATATACATCAACACTCTGCGCACCGTTTCTAGCAACAGTAAGCCAACTTGGCTGCTCATCTCAGCGTAGTTTTTGTTTTAATTTCTTTTCTTCTAGGCAGTGAGTATTTTGCTACGCTCGGCGATTAGCTCAAAGATTTCTGGCAACATTGTTTTTAACAAAGGAAAGATTTAAGTTTAATTCTGGGTGAAGAGCAGAAGAATTTCCTTCTAAGAATGAAACCTTAAAAACTTTCTTAACGGACATTGTTTATTCTTCCTTTCGAGAAATCACGGCAAAGAAGAAATACAATATAACATCAAAGTAAAAAGTCATTATCGTATAGAAGATTTAATAAGTTTAGAAATATTTTATTATCATGAAAATACTATTACTTCATTTGAAGCAATAGAAAATTCAATAAATTTAAAAGAATTAGAAAGTCGTGAAAATATTATAATTTCTTTTTGAAGGAATAGAAATTTTAATAAATTTAATAAATTAGATTGTCACAAAAATGCTAATATTGTCGATAAACGAAATTATTTTCTTCTTACCCAGCGCGAATACTGTATTTTATTTTAAATATAAAATAGTAGTATCATCTGCTATAAGTAGACTTTTTTCATTATAATGAAGCCGATATCTATAATAGATACTAAATGGGATTTCGATGAATGTATTAAAAATGAAATATATATCAGAACATAAAACATTATATCACTGGGGGGAACTTCACCGGTGATGAAGGAGCTTCGTAGCATTAAATTTAAAGAAAATTAATAATTGTGTTTAAAAGAATTTTAAAAATGTGTATAACAATGAACGAATAAATGCATTTAAAGAAGATTAGCAAGCAGATCATAAAAGTTTTTAGGTAAAGTGTCAAGAATGAACAATATAATTAAGTATCAAAAACATATGAAACATATAGAGAAAAATTTATAAAAGAAATGCAAGAGAGAGTATACGGATTACTAAGGATGGTTTTTCTTCCTAATAAATAGAAATTTACTTACAAAGTATAATATTCAATATTTAAAATGTTGTAGATATGTAGTTATTAAATATAAAATTTAAAACTTGAACGAAATGATTTCTTATTATTTAGAAATGAATTTGATGAAATTAAAGCTTATGATGGATGTGAATGCAGTTTTGTAGAAGACACTCAACTTTGTAACTTTGTTTATATGAAATGATGCTTATTCTTTCTCATTTCTACTTTTATAGATGGACTGAATAAGAAGCTTTTAGCCGAAAAGGCCTTGCAAAAATAGTTTGCGAATAAATGGAAGAATTCAATAGCTTCAGATCTTATCTTAAAATTTTAA